GAACCTTAAAGAAATTATGCCAAGTGAAAAAGAACCAATCTCAACAGGACATATACTGCAGATTTCATTTATATAATATTTGTGTTTTTTTCTTTATTTTTGCTTGTTTCCTTTTTGAGACAGTCTTGCCCTGTCACTCAGGCTGGAGTGCAGTGGTGCAATCTCAGCTCACTGCAACCTCCGCCTCCTGGGTTCAAGCAATTCTCCTGCCTCAGCCTCCTGAGTAGCTGGGATTACAGGCACCCACCACCACACCCAGCTAATTTTTGTATTTTTAGTAGAGATGGGGTTTCACCATGTTGGCCAGGCTGTTCTGGAACTCCTGGAACTCCTGACCCCACTCAGCCTCTCAAAATGCTGGGATTATAGGCATGAGCCATCGCACCTGGCCCTATTTTTCTTTATTTATTTACAGACAGGATCTCACTCTGTCACGCAGGCTGGAATGCAGTACCAGGATCATAGCTCACTGCAGCTTCAATCTCCTGGGTTCAAGTGATCCCTCCACCCCAGCCTCCCGAGTAGCTGGGACCACAGGTGCATGCCACCATATCTGGTTAATTTTTTGTATTTTTGCCATGTTGCCCAGGCTGTCCTTGAACTTCTGGTCTCAGGCCATCCACCCCTCTCAACCTCCCAAAGTGCTGGGATTACGGGTGTGAGTCATTGTGAGAGGTGACAACGTGCTAGCAGCCCTCACTCGCTCTCAGCGCCTCCTGGGCCTCAGCACCCACTCTGGCTGCACTTGAGGAGCCCTTCAGCCCTCCGCTGCACTGTGGGAGCCCCTCTCTGGGCTGGAGGAGTCCGAAGCCGGCTCCCTCTGCTTGCGAGGAGGTGTGGAGGAAGAGGCACCGGCAAGAACCCGGGCTGCGCACCACGCTCCAGGGCCAGCGCGAGTTACGGGTGGGCGCGAGCTCTGTGGCCCACAGGCGGAGCTGCTCGCAGGTGCCGCCTCGCCGGGCAGCGAGGGGCTTAGCTCCCGGGCCAGCAGCTGCGGACGGTGTGCCGGGTCCCCCAGCACTGCCGGCCGCCCCAGCACTGCCGGCCCCCGCACCACACTTGAGTTCTCGCCAGGCCTCAGCTGCCTCCCTGTGGGGCAGGGCTCCCGACCTGCAGCCCCGCCATGCCGGAGCCCCCACACCGGTGGGCTCCAGCACAGCCCGAGCCCAAGAGCTAAGGAGTGCGGGTGGGCAGCTGCGGGACTGGTAGGCAGCTCCCTCTCCCCGTGGCCCCTGCTGGGGATCCACTAGGGGAAGCCAGCTGGGCTCCTGAGTGGGGTGGGGACTTGGAGAACTTTCCTGTCTAGCTAAAGGTTTGTAAATGCACCAATCAGCACTTTGTGTCTAGCTCAAGGTTTGTAAAGGCACCAGTGCTCTGTGTCTAGCTAATCTAGTGGGGACTTGGAGAACTTTTGCGTCTAGCTAAAGGATTGTAAATGTACCAATCAGCACCCTATCAAAACGGACCAATCAGCTCTCCGTAAAATGGGCCAATCAGCTCTCTGTAAAATGAACCAATCAGCAGGATGTGGGTGGGGCCAGATACAGGAATAAACGCAGGCTGCCAGCGCCAGCAGTGGCAACCCGCTTGGGTCTCCTTCCAGGCCATGGAAGCTTTGTTCTTTGCAATAAATCTTGTTGCTGCTCACTCCGTGGGTCCATGTTTCCTTTATGAGCTGTAACACCATGAAGGTCTGCAGCTTCACTCCTGAAGCCATGGAGACCACGAACCCACCAGAAGGAAGAAACTCCGGACACATCTGAACATCTGAAGGAACAAACTGCGGACACATCATCTTTAAGAACTGTAACACTCACGGTGAGGGTCTGCAGCTTCATTCTTGAAGTCAGCGAGACCAAGAACCCACCAATTCCAGACACAATCGTGCCCAGCCTACATAAAATATTTGTAAAATAAAATGATTATACAGATGGAGAACAGACTAATGGTTGCCAGGTGTTTGAGATGGGAGGAAGGGGGTGGGTGTGGCTGTAAAGAGCTAGCACCAGTGAGCTTTGTGGTGATGGTACTGCTATGTATCTTGATTGTGATGGTGGTTATAGGAAGCTACACACGAGATGAAACTATACCCTGCATGCACATACAAATTTTGAATTATACCAATGTCAATATCCTGGCTTTTACATTGAAAATGTTAATATGTCAATATCAGGAGAGGCTGGGTAAAGGGTATAGGGGACCTCTCTGTACACTCCTTTGCAAATTCCTATGAATATTTATTTCAAAATAAAAAGTTTTAAAAACTATGTGGCCTCCTGTGTGGGAGACTAGCCAGTGCCAGATATGCCTGTGACAGAGTGGGGTGCTCAATTAGGTGGGCTGCAGACACAAGTGGAATTCTCTAACTCAGCTTTATCCTGGAGCACAGCTGAGGTTTTGTTCCATCTCTGATTCCTGTGACACATTTCTCAATTCATTCAAACTCTTAGATGAGGAAAGGGCTGTGATTAAATGTCAGTCTCTGAAAACCTAGCTCCCTGGACCTCAGGCCTTTAGAGTAGGAACCAGTTCTGGAGAGAAACTTGAATTATGCCTTTGCAATTTCTGAACAGCGGGGTCTGGACCCACAAACAGGGTTGACTCACGAGGGGGTAAAAACTTTCTCAGGGAATGAAAAAGTTTTGGACAGGACGTCCCAAAAAGCCCATGGTGTCCTCTGATTTGACCAAATCCTTTAGAATAAATAAGACTTCAGCTGCCTCTGGAAACAGCCAGGGGGAAAAAAAAAAAAAAAGCAGTTACAGAAAATGGTGAGATTAAGAAAAAAAAGCACTGAGAAGCCAGGTACCTCCTGGGATAATAAAAATGCAGTAACACACAAAAATCACATCCTGCTTTAGAATCATATTTTTATCAGCAAATAAGACATCTCTTATCTGTTTTAAATTAGAAAAATCAACTCTGCAAGTGAAGGTTTGAAGCTCTTGTGTTGCAGGGTCAAACCTCACTTTAAACTTGTCGGCCCCCCAGTGGAACTTGCAAAAGGAGCCGGAGAAATCTCTTAGAATTCTGAGAGGCCCATGGGAGGGATGCATGTTTTCTCACTCTTGTTATTGTTGGTGCCAGTCTGAACACCTTGATCTCAAAGCGATTTATCAGAGCCCTGGTTCTCCCACCATCTGTCTACATGCCAATTGTCTTGGTGAGATTTACACACGAAGCAAATCCAATTAAATGAAGAGACTGCCCCTGGCAGCTCAACGCATTTCTAACACAGGAAGGCCATGCTCTGGAATCCAGCGGGTATTCTCAAATCGCGGCTGATTATCAGCTACTTCATCAAACAATTTCCAGTTTGCCAGCAAACCACAGGCTGACAAGACAAAGGCAGGGGTCAATGCGGTTCTAAGATGGTGCTTCAATGTCTGTATTTCATTCATGACAAGCACTGCATGTAGAGGAGTACAGTTTCCTTAGGAATTCAAGAGTAATTTGAACCATTCAATCTCCAGAACCAAAATAACACAAATAAGAGCAAGGGAGTTAAAGGTTTCCCAAATAACTTTCTTTTTCTCAGAAAGTCAACAGGAGTTTGAATTACAGTCTGAAAAAATTAAGCGACACAACTTTCAATTTCCCATTCATCCAGGAAACCCTGTCTCTTCATCCAACACAATTCAGAAAACTTAAAACTGGCCAAATGTGTCTAACTAAAAATGAAGGCTGGACACGATGGCTCATGCCTATAATTCCAGCATTTTGGGAGGCCAAGGCGGGAGGATCACTTCAGCCAGGGAGTTAAGACACCAGTCTGGGGAATACAGGAAAACCCTGTTTCTACTAAAAACTAAAAATACATTGTGGGATGTGGTGGTGAGTGCCTGTTGTCCCAGCTACTCCAGAGGCTGAGGTGGGAGGATTACTTGAGCCCAGGAGTTTGAGGCTGCGGTGAGCTATGACTGAGTCACTGCACTCCAGCCTGGACAACAGAGGGAGACTGTCTCAGAAAAATTAAGAATACAAAAATAAAAATAGGGCCAGGCGTGGTGGCTCATGCCAGTAGTCCCAGCACTCTGGGAGGCTGAGGCGGGCAGATCACGAGGTCAAGAGATCGAAACCATCCTGGCCAATATGGTGAAAACCCGTCTCTACTAAAAATACAAAAATTAGCCGGGCGTGGTGATGGGTGCCTGTGGTCCCAGCTATTTGGGAGGCTGAGGCAGGAGAATCACTTGAACCTGGGAGGCGGAGGTTGCAGTGAGCCGAGATTGGGCCACTGCACTCCAGCCTAGTGATAGAGTGAGACTCTGTCTCAAAAAAAAAAAAAAATTAATAAAAATAAAAATAAAGAGCTTTGTGAAGATCAGACCCCCAGGGTCCCGCTGGGATGCTGACTTGGTGAGACACATGTGGGTGGGGGTGACTTTGGATGTACTGGTGTTTGCAGAAGTGAGCAGCCACCATTCCTTCCAAGTCGACCTTCTGGGGCTCAGGGTCTCCAGCTAATGGCTCTGAGAGGGTGCTTCAGAGGTCCCTGAGAAATGGAAGCTCTCACTCTGGGAGCGGGGCCTGTGTGTTCCTTTGCGGGTGGCCGTTGTAGAGGGGCTTTCAAGCCTTGTGAGGGCCCTGTGGCTTCTGGGCCTACAGATTCCTCTTCCTTGCTATGAGCCTGCACCCCCAAGGGATACCTCACTTGCCTCAGGCCCCACTCAGGGAAAGCAGGTACCAGCCTCAGCTTCCTCCCTGCTGGGTTGAAAGGCAAGGTCTGAGCCTAAGCCACCAGCGGCACCTTCGTGCGTGCCACTCAAGAGTTATTTGAAGCGAATGAGCCACAGAAGCAGAAATGCCTGTGTTCCTGATTGTTTATTAATGGGGCACAGCAGGAAGTTCGTTTCCATCTGGAATTATCAGCACCACCAGTTGCCACTCTTTTTTCCCCTCAGGGAACTGTTTAAGACCCAGGATCAAGCCAGTGCGCATTCCAGGGCCAGGCTAAAAGCAGCAACAAATAGGAGAGAAAAAAAAGTATATAGTCTTACCAGTCACCACCACGCAGCTGGGCTGGGAATCCATGAAGACGAAGTGGGAGCTCGCTCTGTGCTTCCTGGGTCAGGCGGCTGCCCAGTGGCCGGGCTCTGCGCTCTCTGAGCTCCGGCGTTTCCTCCGCCTGGCCGCGTGCTGGCCTGGGGAGGGGAGCCGCTATAGAGCGGGAGCCCAACCCCTCCTGGCCGCCGGGCTTCCGTAGCGTTCTGGGCCCCGAAAGGCCAAGGATCTGGGGGAGGGTGATAAGGCGATGCCCCTTCAAAGCAGAACGATCCAGCTCAGGACAGCGGGTCGGAGCGCCAGCAGGGACTTTCTGGACATTTGGGCGTGGGTCAGTTTGTTGTTCAGGATGGTTCAAAGGTGAGCTAAGGGTTTGGCCACCAGCTGTCCCGGTTTGCCTGGGATGGAGGGGTGTCTGGGACGGGTAGAACGTGCTCAAAGGGGTACCGTCCTGGGCACTGTGGGCTACCCTACAAGTCGTTTATTTAGATCTTATTTTTTCCTCTTTAGTAATCCCCGCTCCCTGCCAGAGCCCCTGATTGTGTTTGGCCATTGTGATTTGGTAAAATTTGATTGCTCTGGAAACTCATTCCACAAAATACGTTATATGTGAGCAGAAGAAAAAAAAAAAGAAGAAAAGAAAAAGAAAGAAAACAAGAACATAGATGAATCTTACGCGCCTGCCTTTAAAATATTGATTGAAATCTCTGCTGCTGTGGGTCCTCAGGGACGTTAACCTCTGTGCTCAGGTTTCCTGTTTTGGGAAACAAGGATCACAGCACCGGATGATGTATGGATTCTTTCTGTGCCCCAGGCACTGTCCCCAGCTTCATCAGCCCTGAGGGACAGAGGCTTGCCACCTAGTTAGTATCTGTGCAGGCTCGGTAGCTCTGCGCTCACCACCCTGCGTTCTACCTGGGAAAAGTGCTTGCTTGACACTCTGCTGGACTCTTAAATGTGCCACTGACAGTGAGGCACAGGCCATGGCATGCCACCTCGGCTCTGCAGACAGTCCTCTCTTTTTGTGTCAGAATAACTGAAAAAACTAACATTTGGGGCTATCCCCTCTACTGAAGAAGGCTGTTATACAACATCTTGATCTTTCAGAGAATACTATTAAAAAACAAAACAAAACAGAACAAAATTTTGGCCAGGTGCACTGGCCTCATGCCTTTAATTTCAGCGTTTTGAGAGGCCAAGGTGGGATAGCTTGAAGCCAGAATTCAAGATAACCTAGGCAACATGGCAAGACTGCCGCAATTAAAATTTTTTAAAAAGTGGTGTGTGCCGTAGTCCTGGCTACTTGGGAGGCTGAGGCGGGAGGATCACTTGAGCCAGTCAAGCATGACTGCCTCTGCACCCCACCTGGGTGACAGAAGCGAATACCCTGTCTCTAAAATTCATAAAATTTTATTTTCTTAGTAAAATATATTTTTCAAAAGCTATATAGTAGAAGAGGAAGAAGAGCCATAATTCTCTGTTCCCATCTAGGCCTGGGTAGGGAAGCTCCCTTCAGGGAAAGGCAGGAAGGTTCAAGCACCGTGTGCCTTTTCTAAGAACAGCTTCCGTGTGGACTCAGGACCCACGTGGCTGCATCTTCTGAATTTGTCTCTCCTGATACAAAGGCGGCTCCCTTTTAATTGGGATCACCTCAGGGATCTAGGCCCACTTGTATGGCGTTCTGGGATTCTGAACCAGGCTCAGTTTCCGCCTTAATTGGCTCCTGGTGTTGGCTGCAGGTTTTTTTACAAGCCAAGAACAGGTGGAGAGAGGTGCCATTTGCTCCCACTGGTCTCCCATCTCCCTTGCCCTGAGGCATGGGGGCCCATCTTGTGTTGGAGGTGGGTGCAGAGGACTTTGGACTTGGCCCTTATTCACGGAAGTTACCCAGTTTCTCACATTCCTCTGAGGCCACTGCTGACTTTGTCTCAACCTCCTCTGGCGTGAGCAGCTCTCCTGGTCTAGTACTTACCTAGTTCCTCATGGGGCTTTGGCGGCTCATCCCCTGCGGCTCTGGGTTAAAGAATGAGATATTGGGGCCATTAAGAATGCCCTTACATTGGTGTTTTTGTTTGTTTGTTTTGAGATGTAGTTCTAGCTCTGTTGCCCCAGGCTGGAGTGCCAAGTGTGCGTGCATGTGATCTTGGCTCACTGCAACCTCTGCCTCCCAGGTTCAAGCAATTCTCTGCCTCAGCCTCCCGAGTAGCTGGGGTTATAGGCACCTGCCACCACTCCTGGCTATTTTTTGTATTTTTAGTAGAGACAGGGTTTGACCATCTTGGCCAGGCTGGTCTTGAACTCCTGACCTCGTGATCCACCTGCCTCAGCCTCCCAAAGTGCTGTGATTACAGACATGAGCCACCATGCCCAGCCAGAAATGCCCACATTTGTGAAGTTGGTTGCTGCTAGGGTCCAACTCTACTATCAGCATTCACCGATGAGGTCTGGGAATGGGAACTCGTGTTTAAGCAGACTCCCTAAGTGCTAAGACTGCCCGTCTTTAACCATACTACTTTTCTGATAACAAAGCTGAAATTTTCATCATTACTATTTTTTTGATTTGACATGAGCTACTCTTATTTTAACTAAACTGGAATGTATCCTGGAGTTTTCACTTTCCTGTAATTCACTTATTATTTTTCTGTTCTGAAACTTTCTCTAATTTTGAAATTAATAGAAAAAGAAAACAACAGATATAAAATATTTTACTTAGTCACAGCGATATGTCTATTTGTGTATTCATTCACCTCCCCTCTCCCCACACAAGAAACTCCCAGCATAGTCCTACATTCTGGAATGAAAATAGCTCCAAAAAGTATGGATTTTGAGGTTCAACATCTGCACTTTTCTTTCTTTTTCCGTTGTAAAAACAAATGGTCTCTAATAATTGATGTCAAACACAGTCTTCAGGCCGATGAAATACAGTAAGCCTGAGAACAAATAAGGGAACTAAATGGAGCTGTTTTATTTAACAGAAAGCACAGTGATCTTCCTTACAAGCTGGATTCCCGAGAGGAAAATGTTTGTAATCAGATTTGACTCTAGGATTAACAGGGCAAGGTGCGACCCTCTTAGTGAACCGAAAAGTAAACAACAGTACACAGGTGTTCTCACCAGGGACAGCAAATGGGAGTTGCCAAGATTACAAGATCCCAAGACCTAAACTATTTCACGTGCTGAACTAAACTCAGAACTTTGTGGGATTTGTTTTAAATTTCTCATTGGCAAGTGGTGACTTCCTGCTGTAGCAAGAAAAATGATTAAAGGGGTTTGTTTACTGTCTCTGACACAAACAGCTCTAACAACACGTTTTGTACGCTTGACATAAATGAAATTTAATCAAACTGGTCAAAATCCTTTGGGAGGTGGGGAGAAAATAAATCAATCAGCAAGAAGCACTTGTGATTTCCAAAATAATGATAATGTAAGTCTTTCTCTGTGTCTAACATCACTGTTTCCAGATAAGCGACTTAGCTCTACTGTAAAACACAACCCATAGCCAAATTGCTTCTTGTCAAAGCACTACAGGATCCTCCAATAATATCACTTTACCAAGGCAGCATTCAGAACTCACCCTCCCCTACACCTCTGCCTCTGCAGCTTTGTACCCCAGCAGGGGCCAGCCAGCACACGATTTCTGAAAAGGGCCAGAAAATAAATGAATAAATGTAGTAGGCTTTTGCTTTTTTTTTTTTTTTTTTGAGACAAGGTCTCACTCTGTGGCCCAAGCTGGAGTGCAGTGGTGCAGTCTCGGTTCACCACAACCTCCGCCTCCCGGTTCAAGCAATTCTCATGCCTCAGCCTCCTGAGTAGCTGGGATTACAGGTGTGCACCACCACACCCGGCTAATTTTAGTAGAGACAGGATTTCACCATGTTGGCCAGGCTGGTCTCAAACTCCTAACCTCAAGTGATCTGCTTGCCTGCCTTAGCCTCCTAATAGTGCTGGTGGATTACAGGCGTGAGCACTCACCCCGGCCCACGCTTGATAGGCTATGTGGCCAGTTGCACTTGGCTGTTGTGGGATGAAAGCCAGAATAGTAATTATTGTAAGTAAATGGGTATGACTGAATTCCAATTATGTATTTGAGGACTGCTGAATTTTGATTAATTGCCAATGTGGTTCATGGATTTGTATCTTTGGATTTTCAGCTATTTACAAGTGGTGAAACTATTCTTATCTCTCAGGCTTGTACAAAGAACGGGGCGAACTGGTCATCATTAGGGCTGTGAGCTGTCATTTGCAAAATCTTTCACTTGATATAATTTTCTCTATAGGGACAGATTATGGTGCTGATTGTACTTATGTATACCAACTAAAAAATATTCGTTAAATGAAGTAAATATTTTGATTATTAATTAAATGGAAACAAAAGAACTAAAAGTGATCTGGAATATTTCATCCAAAATTTCTCCATTGCTTTCCCTTTTTGTTAAGTTCATCCATGTTAGAAGAGCAATTTCTGAAGAGACATTGGCCAACATTTTTGCGTGTTTTCAAAATTATACTATTTATGATGTCACTAGGAATTTAACAGAAGGCAGTTAGTTACAATTAATTTTTTACAAAAAAAAATTTACAAACCAATTTTTTTCCTTGGTACAATTAATTGGTTAAAAATTTGGTAAGAACCTTCTCCACCCCCGGCACTCCAATTCGGGATGTGAATGGTGCTGATTGTCCAAGGTGTGGAATTTTTCTGGCTGCTGTTGCCCAGGTAGGTTAGGAACCTGAGCTCTTTCATCTTCTTGGAGGTTATTTGGACACTGTACATTCATGTTTTTTAAACTTTATACTAAAGGCATAGCTTCTCAATGGCTTTACACCATTTTAACTTCTTTTAATAAAAATTGAGGGCGTTGGTGCAGTGCTCATGGCCTGTAATCCCGGCACTTTGAAGGGGCCTGGAGTTTTGAGGGCAGGCGGATACTTTCAAGGAGTTCAAAGACCAACCCCCCCCCCCTGGCCCAACATGGTGAAACCCACGGCTTACAAAAAATACAAAAAATAGGGCAGGCATGGTGGGCCAGGTGGCCTTATAGCCCAGCTACTTCAGGCGGCTGAGGGAAGGAAAATGCTTGAGCCCAGGAGGGAGACGTTGCAGTGAGCCAGATTCGGCCATTGCAACTCCAGCCTGGTTACAGAGTGAGCTCCATCTCAATCAATGATCAATCAATTAAATTAAAAAACTTGAGCGAGGTACGGGGGCATGCTCTGTTATTCCCCAGCTACATAGGGCCTTCTCCCAGCGATGTTGACGAAGATTGCTTGAGGCCTGGAGGTTCAAAGGGCTTGGCAAGTGAGCTATGATCTTCTGCCACTCCACCCTGGATGGGGAGGGCAAGACCCTGTCTCTAAAAATGAAAAAAAAAAATAAAAATAAAATGAAAAGATGAGAACTTTTATAAACTTTCTGAAACACCATTCAAATGTTTTAAACCATCAATGAAATTTGGTATGCTGGATAATCGTTCAACATCCCATTGGGAAACTGATATGAAGATACTGGATTTACAGGCCTC